AATTCAGAGTCATGGACAGAAGTCATTAAGATGATAGTCTAAAATATTAGCATTGAGTATAATCTCAAAATATTTCAGCACAATTCACTAACTGTCTCACACTATCATTTTGAAAGATCAGTTCAACATCATTATGACTCAAATGACATAAATATTAAAAAAAACCTTAAAGAAAGTATGTTAATTTAAAAAATTTATTTTTATTTTGTTATAAGAAATTGACTAAAATAAAATCTTTTCAGATTCTATCATCTTTAACATCAGACAAATCAAAATCAAACTCACAGTTATAATTACTTTGCACTGAGTAATCAGATAATCAAAAAGATTAAGTTGAAAAATTCTAAATATTTTATATACTACGATAAAATCAGCAGATTATCTTCAAATTCTATATATAATTAATTAATAATTAATTAACTATTTTTAAATAAAAAAAGAAAAAATATAATTAAAAAGCTATTAAAATATTTTATAATCTTATGATTAGAGAATTTTATAATTTATAATCAGAATTTTATTAAATTTTTTCATTTTTTAATTTTATTATCTGTTATCTACTATTCATTGTCTGCTATTTATTTTCTTTCAGCTCTTATTCTTTTACCTTTTTACTTGTCAAGTAATTAATTTGATAAGATCATGAAGTTATAAAGCTTTTAATATTTTTCACACTCATTTTGATTTACACTAACTTGCAACTCTATTAAATGAATTATTATTTATATATAGTAATTAAAAAGTTTAACTTTTTAAAATTTTATTATTTTTACAAACTTTCTTGAAAAGAGATCAAAAAAATTTATAACTTAATAATTATAGATTTTGATAATAATAAAATCATTATACCTTTTCAATTATAATAATTTTTTATACTTTGAGTAGATTATTATCTATAGAAGATCTTAATATCATCAACTATTTATATATACTCTTATTGTAATTGAATAAAAAGAAGAAAAAAATAAATATAATTTATCTACTAATAAATATGAGTATACAGATATCATATAAATATATATCATCAAATAATAATATGAAATGATCGAAATAAATGATAATGATGATTATATATATACTTAAAGAGTAATATCAAAACTAATTAATTTTAATTAATATTTTAATTTATAATTCTCAGTTTATATAAATCATTTATTTATATTTCAAGTATATTTTATTTATTTTATTTACAAATTTTTGAAAAATTATTTATTATATTTAAATTTACTCTCTTCAATAATAAAGATTAAAACTCTTTCTTTTGCAAATAAAAGAAAAATATAATATAACAAAGAGTAATATTTATTTATATATTAAATCACTAATATTCTAATACTAATCTGTTCTAATAATGTGATTAATCACTTAATTATTTTATAAATTTCATCTTAATTCTTCAACTTCAAATCTTAATATTATGATCAATAAAACTGCAATTCAACTTATAATTAAAGATTTAAAATTATAAAAATTTTTAAATTATAAGCAAATTGCTTTGAAGTATAAAATCAATCTAATGATATTAATATTATGATATAAAAATTAATAAACCTATAGAACTGAAGTAATATTAAATATTACTAAAGAAATACTTTTTCAGCTATTAATTTTAATATAATTTATTATTAAATAAATTATATTACTAAATAAATTATATTTTTATGACATACTATAATTTAATTCTTCAACTTTGACTACTGTGAGATATTAAATAAAGAAGCTATTCAACTTATAATTAAGAATTTAAAAGTTTAAATGATTAAAAATTACACTATAACTATTAGAAAGAACTTAATTAATAAAAAATAATATACTATTATTATAATAGCTTGCTAATTATATAGAATAAAATAGTTTTTTAATATAAAAAAAGCTCTCAAATCAGTAAAAATAAAAATTTTTATTTTATATAATAAAGCTTATAGCTTATAGTTTTACTTTTATATCTCAAACTATTCAAAATTTTATTTTGAAAATTATTAATGAATTTGTTAAAGTTTATTGAGTAATATACCTTACTAAATACTATATGATTTAAATTCAAAAATTTATATTTATAGTATTGATTTAAAAATGTAAGATACTAGATATTCTATGCATTTTGAGTATTATTTTCAATTAATATATTGATTTTTTGCTTGTTTTCTTGTACTGAGTTCTCTATAAACTCTTGCTAACTATTTTACTATATAATTTTATATTATAACTCAACTAGAGTAATGATGATAACAAGATAAAACTTCAACTCATCTATTTAACTGGATGACTATGATAAAAATATTAAATAAAAAATTAGAATATAAAAATAAATAAATAGTCTAATATATATAAATAGTTGAAAATCAAAATGAATAAATTTTTAAAACAGAGTAAATTAATAAGAATAATTAAATAATTAAGATTAGAATAAATAAATTAATCTTGTTTTATATTATCAGCAATTGTATTATAATATTACTTTTTAATTTTAAAAAATGCTTATCATCATATAGCTATACTGAATATAATAAAAGAGTAAATTAAAATTGATTAAACTTATCAATAGATTGATTGCCTTAACTATTATTGATCAGATTTTTATATACTTTCTTTTACATTTTATTAATATCTGAATTATTATCAAATTCTTAATTAAAAGCAGAAATTTATTTAACAGTTAAACAGTGATAGAGTATAAAAGAATAAAAATAAAATTAATATTGTTCAACTCAATAATTATTGTGGGT